AAATAAATAAAATCTTAAAAAATAAATAAATAAATAAAATTAGAAAGCTTGTATGCCCTTCTTTCTTAGTCTCCTCAATTAAAAAAGAGAGTTAAATCCAGAGAGAGTCTGTGTTCTTATCTATATTAGCAGGAAAAAAAAAATCATTATTTTCAAATAGAAAGAGCTATTAAAATTCTACTTCCACAAAACAAACCAGTATTTATTATCAAGTTAGCCAAAATACATTCTATGTTAAAAGAGAATTTCAGTATAGATACGGTCGTATTTTTAAAATTCAAAAGCTGCCTTACCAATAATTTTGCATTTCATAACATAAAAGTAAAACAAAGCACTAGGGAGAATGCTTTTAAATTTTTAATATACACATTTAGATCTTTACTATGCTTCTTACAAGCTCAAGTATTATGCATGGAAAATGTTTTCACAAACTTTTTTTATCATCAGGGGATTAATTACTTCTGGAATCCCATGACTTATAAATATTCACTTGTTGGAATTACAGTAATTGCCATCATTATTCAACAACAAAATTTAAAGGATCCAATTAAAACGTGTAATACTTTAAACCTTTAAAGTTCAAAATTTTACTTTTTTCTTAAGCAGTTAAACACAACAGCAGCATCTCTACTTACTCAGATGTTACAAGGGCTTATTGATCATCTCCCCTAAACTGGCAGCTTTGAGCTTAAATCATCATCAAGCAAGTCAGAGAAACTCCAGAAGGCAAAATATCTTCTAATCTTCAAAAGCATTAATAAAATGCCTGGGTGAGAAAAAAAAAATGGGCGTTAGAACCAAGAGAGAACTTCTCTCAAGTGTAATGTCTAGATAGGCAGTAACTTCTGTTTCTTCTTTTCTTTCCCTTCTACGTGAGGGCTCAGAACATGTTAATTCACCGCCCTGGGGGTATGGGTGAGCTGAGCTGGGCTGGCAATACTTGGTATTACAACCGCCCTCTGTTTTCAGAACTCTCTTTGGGGAGAAGCCCAACTTAATTTAATAATACATGCATCCTGCACTATCACCTGATCACCTTTTACCGGTCTGATCCTTCAACGGTAGAGATCCTCATTCCCTAACCATACAAAGGAACACACTTTTGAGAGTGAAAAGAGGAACTCTTGAAATATTTATTTATTAGCTAGTAAACGGTCTTTATTATATTGATTTATATTCTAAAAAATAAAAATAATGTATGTCCACTACATTAAAACAAAAACTAAAGGTTTATTTACATTACCTGAATGCTTAAAATATCATAAGCAGATTAATTACTCTTGCTACATACTGTTGTCCGCCAATCTGTTTTCCTAAGAGATTCCGCCTGTAATACTCTATCACTTGTACTGTTGTCTGGGAAAAAAGGCTGACATGGTCTGATTATTTTTAATTTTTCACAAAGTTGCCAAAGTCTTTTTCAAAGTCTCATTTTATGTTAAATAATCTGAAAATCACTGACGTCATCTGACTCTTCTGTATTGACGTTATTTTCAACAAGAAATGCCCTTTTCACAGTTGCTGAGAAACCTGGCGAGCTCAAAGCGAAGTCTGCTAAACAGAGGATATTCTCAATTCTACCTTTTTCATACCAAAATTGTTAAGTACTTCAGTCTAAAGATTTATAGATAGTATCTTTTTCTGCCTACACTGGCACTCCTTCTTCCACACTCACCGCCTCCAATCCACTCACCAGGACATGCACTCCCACACACAGTTTTCTTCCCCAATGCAAGTCCCATCACGTCACTTCCCAACTTACCAACTTCCCAATGGCTTCCCATTGCTCCTTGAATGCAATCCAAAACCTTAACAGGGCCTCCAAAGCTCAGGGAGACCTGGTCCCTCCCTGCCTCTCAAACCCTCAAACGCAGCAGGTCCTCCCCTGCCCCAGAGCCTCTGTGAGCTCCGTTCTGCTCTTCTCAGTCGTCTGAGAGACTCCTAATGCTCCAAATCCAAGTAACCCCATGGTTTCCTCTCTCCCAAAAAGTACTCTATACTTTTCCTACAGAGCATTCATCAAAATCTGTACTGACTTGTGTGCTTTTAGAAAGCCTATCTCCACCAGATGGTAAAAACTTCATGAGAGTGTAGACATCACTCTTGCTTGATTCACTTCTTAATCATCTTTTTACCCAGCACCTGGCACGGTCCTTGACATCTTGTGAACCTTTAGTAAATATCTGGTGAACGAATGAATGAAAGACTGAGAAGGAGAAAGTAAGGAGACAAAGGGCAATCTAGTTATTTCAGTCAATTTATGATTTATGACCAAAACATCTCACAATCCTAAATCCAACTACATCATCAATGGTCCCCTCTACACAGGATGATTCTCATAAGCATGCAGTCTGTATTTCCTCCCAACCTGAAAGAAAGGGAGAGAGAAAAAGACCTCTCTCTTGACCCCACATTCCCGTGTACTCCCCATTTCTCTAATCCAATTTTATAGGAATAATACTCAAAGGGCTGACTGTATCTGCTGTCTCCAATTCTTTCCTCCCATCTTCACCTGAACCCATTCCATTCAGGCTTTTGTCCCCACTGCTGTGCTGAAACTGCCCTTGTTAAAGCCACCAATGACCTCCATCCTGAACTAGGCAAGGTCTTGGTATCTACCCAACCATCTTGAACTAGCCAGGTACTGAGACAGGCACTTAAAATGAATTATTCTTTTAAACTGTTTGTCACAACCACTCCCTGAGGCAGGTGGCATTGTTATCTCCAGAGAGAGCCTAACTGAATTCATTCAAGGCCACTTGGGGAAAAAAAAAAAGCCAGAAGAGACAATTTTTACTAAATCTAATAGTCAATTTTCATCTTAGCTGGACCTCGTCTTACCAAACCTGTCTGGTATTTAACAGAGCTGATCACTCCCCTCTTTCTTTAAATACTTTCTTTGCTTGGTTTCTAGGACACCACACTCTTCCTGACTCTCCTCCTCCTTCACTGGCCATTCCTTCTTAGACTTCTCATTATGCCAACCTCTTAAGTTAGAGTGACCCAGGGCCTTCGGTTCTCAAACTTCTTCTCTACCTCTACTCCCTCCTCTTGCTCATCTCAACGGGTCTCACACCGCTTTAAATACCACCAGTAAGAGCCTGAACCTCTTCCCTTAACTCAAGGCTCATATTTTCAGCTCCCTACTTGACATCTCCTCTTGGATGTCTAATAGACATTTCACATTTAACATCACCCCACGCCAAACTCCTGATGTTCCACCCCACTAAGACTGATGCTCCTACAGGATTCCCCATCTCAGTAAATGGTAATTCAATCTTCCAAGTCATCCCTGACTTTTCGCCTTCCCTTGCACCACATATCCAATCCATCAGCAAATCCTGTTGGCTCAACCTTAAAAATATATCTAAAATTCTAACTACTTCTCCCTACTTCCACCACCACAACTGCTATCTGAGCCTCCTTCGCCTCCATCTGGATTACTGCAATAGCCTCCCAGCTGACTTTTCCCTTGCTTCACTGCACAGTTTTCAAAACAAAAGGCCAGAGTCATCTTGATTTATTTTTTCAGACTCATATTGATAAAAAATCAGATCATGTCACTTATCTGCTCAAAACCCACCAAAAGTTTCCTTTCTCAGAGTAAAAGTCACCATAGCCGCCTTCAAGATCCCTAACTAGCCCCAAGTAACCTCTCTTGCTTCATCATTGCCACTCTCTTCCTCGTTCACCCCTCTCGTCCTACTGCCTTCTTTGCTGCTCCTTGAGGATGTGAACATACTCATGCCAGGGTCTTTGCAGTAGACTGCTGTTCCTCTCTCCAGAATGTGCTTTTTCAGAGACATTTGCATGGCACTCTTGCTCACCCACAGCAGACCCTTCTTCCAAGTATCAACCCGTCAGGGGGGCCTTCCCTGGCCACTCTATTTCATGTAACACCCCATCACCACCATTACAACTTTCTATCCAGCTACCTTGATTTACTTATATTTGTTTATATCCATTCATTCCTTAATATCAGCCCCACTGGATACCTTTTCCCCCCCTCCTCTCTTTTTTCTCCTCCCCTTGTAGACTTTAAGTTTCTTAAGGGAAGAAATTTTTGTTTTGTCCAATACTGTATCCCTCCAGTGGCAAGAAAATGCCTTGTCACCAATATATATTTACTGAATAAATAGTTGAAAATAAGATTATGTGTAGGCAATCTAACTAAATCTCCAGACCCTACTATTCTTAACAGAAAGCTCTTAGAGAACATGGACAATGCAGTTACAATCAAATTTTGCAGAGTAACTTGCACACACAGTCTTCATATCATTTTATCACTGATCATATTTTTCACTGAAATTTTAGTTTTCCCACGTTATGAACACATTATGTGTTACCAACTTTAAGAGTTAAGTAGAACATTACAAATATGACATTTGGGTCTCAGTTATCAATACCAAATTCCCTCAACTTACACTGCAACTATCCAACTGTGAATTCCTTCGGGAAAGTATGCGTTTATTTACTAACGTCTTGCTTATGGGCCTCATCTTGATGGGAGTTCCTCTTGAGCTCCCACTGTTATGTTATTTGCCACAGTATCTGTAAGGAGACCTCATAGCTTCACAGATGCCTAAACTGGGTGACAGGAAGAACGGTGACGGAGAGGCTAGCTGTGGCTGCTTTCTTTCACAAAGTGGTTCTTTAAACTTCTCTGGTATAGCTACTAATTGCTTTAACGCTTCCAAAGGCATTTCTCAGCCTATAGCCAAATGATTTCAAGGCTCTTTTCATGAGTAAGCCGTCTTCCAAGAGTCTCGTGACTCTCACTGGCTGCATCAGCCTGCGCACATTTCCATCTCTAATCCCCAGACTCCAAGTCTCTACTTTGTGGAGTTCCTAGTGGACACTGTATAAAGAGTATTTTATCAATGCAGTGTTTTTATGTGCTGAACTAAATTTCACAAAACTGGAGCAGGTTGGATTCTGATACTATTACTCCACTCTTGAACACTGTTCAACCTTGTCTCATATCACCAAGAAATTCAAACTATGCATGATTTCCTGAATCACCATCAACCTATAATTTAATGAGGAAACTATACACTTTCAATATGTTATTACTGCTTTTCTTAAGTGTCAATGTGAAACAACACTGCTCAAGTCAGGGTAGAGCTCAACATGCCTAAAAATATGTATCTATACCAATCTAGTCTAAAAACAATTTTAGGAGAACTGCAATACCTGGCCATCACTAATAATACGAGAGAATGAAGAACTAATACTTATTAAGCACCTACTGTATGCCAGGCATTTTATCCACATTTTCACAAGTAATCCCTATAATGGCCTCGTATAGGAGGTATACAGCACCAGACTTCAAAACCGCTCAAGGAGCCTCCCTAAATCCCAGTACCGCATCCTCCTACCTACCGAGGTATGATTCAGTCCTAAGAAGCAGACATTACTGGTCAGATTTTACCAAAATGAGCAAATAATTAACACCCATATTCGAACTGTTTTATCTGGCAAACACATAAAGATCAATCTTAGGGCTCCTGGGTGGCTCAGTCGTTAAGCGTCTGCCTTCGGCTCAGGTCATGGTCCCAGGGTCCTGGGATCGAGCCCCGCATCGGGCTCCCTGCCCCGCGGGAGGCCTGCTTCTCCCTCTCCCGCTCCCCCTGCTTGTGTTTCCTCTCTCGCTGTGTCTCTCTCTGTCAAAAAGAAAAAAAAAAAAAGATCAACCTTAAACCTACAGGACAGGCTAACATGTTTTAAAATTTTTCAGTGAACTCACTCTGGTAGGCCCAAGGGATA